ACTTGAAATGAAAAATGGTCATCTTTCAAATTCCCTTCACAAAAGAAGAAAATATGTATTTGCTACCCCTTTTGAGCCTATTGATTATTCTTTCTAAATGAACCCTTCCTAAGGATCACCATTTAAATTTGAAGGGCAAGTTCAAGAAAAAAAGGTTCTCATCAAGATGGCATATGATATTGTTCTAAGGGTTAAAAAATAATGCCTTATGTTAAGAAGCAAGCTTAAACTAATATGAGTTTCAAAAATTTTAAACTCTTGCAAAAAAAAAAAAAGAAAGAAAGAAAAAGAGAAAAGCAAAAAGGCATGTTTTGAGAAAAGGAAAATTATTTCTAGAAAGAAAATGATCCTTGGTTTAATCACCTGTAAATACATTTTTGGGTCTATTTATCTTTTCTTTTAAAACCCTAAACCCCAGCCTACATTACATCCTTTAAAATATCCATTTTGATTAAATGTGGATATCTAATTTGATGAGCTTTTCTTTAGGAAATCACCATTACTTTTTTATTTTTTTATGAATTTTGAATGCTTAAATGAATGATGGAATATATAAAAAAAAAAAAGAAAAGAATAAAGCTCAAAGGGGAAAACTCGAAAAGGTAGTCTACAGCAAGATTGAAACTCTAAAAGCAACTCATGACTTTTCATATAGCACCAAGGAGACTTTTCTTTAAAAGCTCAAAGAGATCGATCTCATTATGAAGATTCCCCCTAAAATTTAGGCCTTGTTCTTTTTTCAAACCTAAAATTTTGAGCTTGATATAGTTGTTCTTGACATTTATTAAAATATCACATATCAAGAATTGAAAGGAGTGCCAAAATAAATTGCACTTTAAAATACTATTTTCAATTGTGAGCCCAGATGAAAAGATGTTCATGTTCTCATTTAGTGGCCAAATTCTTTCGGTAATTAATATCTTTCTTAATGTGCCGAACCATTGCATCCTTTTAAAAGACCAAATTTATTATTCATCATCCTCATTCTAAGTAGTAATCACTAGTTTTTAAGAGATTTAATAACATATGGAAAAGAGTTGTGTAAGGCAATTTCCATTGCTATTCTTGGGAAGTTTTGAGAAATGTTCAAAATATAATGGATCTTAATGCTCGTGGTAGGAGATAGGTGAATGCTATAAGAGATTTTTTTAGGGCAAGAAAATGCCAAATGCAAGGGATCAATATTGAAACAACTCACTAGAGAAGAAGAATAGTTTTCAAGAATGAAAATTTGAGAAAATCTGCTTTAAGGGGTGAAAAAACTTATCAACTAATTCAGAGAGGATGTCATAGAAAGATGAAAAGAAGAAAAAGTTTTGAGAATCCTATTACCACAATTAAGGACATTTGGCATAGAATTCATGCATTGCATTTATTGTAGTTCTTGCATTTCCTGTATTGTATACATCACATCTATTTCATATATTACATTCATATTTTTCAAGGGAAAAAGGTGTTAACTTTAATTTTTATAAAAAATTTTTTTGATTAAACAAGATTTTACCTTAGGATATATTTGTTAAAATTTTTAGTATCAGTCTTAAAAACCTCAGAATAATTCTTATTAAAACCTCTGAGTATATCTTTAAACTGTTAAACTCTTTTTAAAGTCTTTCTAACAAGATATATAAAACATCCAGGCATGATTTTTTTTTTAAATATTTAAATATCTATTTTCTTTTTAAAGTGGTTAAACATTTGTTTTAAAGAAACTTTTTCAAGGTTTGATATGTTAGACTTTTGGGCAAGATTCATAAGTTTTTAAGTTGAATTTGTTTTAAAGTTAAGATTTATATGACCTTCGAATATAATCTTCAAATCCTCCATGTAAGATTCATAAGTCTTTCAAACTGAATCTGTTTTAGAGTTGAGATTTGTAAGACCTACGGGCTTAATCTCTAAGTATTCCAAGTAAAATTCGTAAGCCTTCTGAGCTGAATCCATTTTAAAGTCAAGATTTATAAGACCTCCAAGCGTAATCTCTAATACCTCCAAATGTAGTCTCCAAATCCTCTAGACATGATCTATAAAACCTCTAGGTATGATCTTACAAATACCTTTTTTAAAAGGTGTGAAGCCTTTTTTTTGAAAGATTTTTTTTTTAATGTTAAGAATAATTTGTAAGGCCTTCAAGCTTAATTTTCAAGTTTTTCTGATGAGATTTATAAGAAGTTATGTGCCTTCGTTTTTTAGTAGCCTTTCAAAAAAAACTAAAACCAATGTTGAATAATTTGGACCTAAACAAAATGGATATCTATATCTTTATATAATTCTTGTTTCACAAAAATTATGCAAAAAGGGATAACTGTAGATATCCCATTTTGTTTGAAATTTTTTTTTGAAATAAAAAATGAGCTTCAACTGTAAATTGGGCTCGATTGAAAAGTTTCGCGCCCAATAGAAAATTTTTTAGTTTTAATTTGATTTAATTTGTTTTATTTTTTATTTACTTATTTATTTATTTTAATTGTTTAAAAAGTCAAAAGAATAAAAAAAAAGGAAAGAAAATCAAATTAAAGTAAAGTTTGCTGAAATCGGGCAAGAGAGGATCTTTGGAATTTCATCTGCATTAGAAACAGAATCAATCATATAGCCATTGACCCCAATTGAATAAGAATAAAATCCTAGGATTCAAGCATTAATTAAATCTATTAAATCTCAAAATGTTTTGTTAAAAAACTCTATAAATCATGGTCAAGCATAGAAGGAAAAATGGAGAGAAATTCTTGAAAGAAATATACAAAAATAATATAAAAAGGTTTTTTGCATTCAGAGTTTTTTGGGAATCGATTTTATTTCTTGGATTTTGTTTTTGAATCTATTTTCTGAGATTTAATTCATCATTCAGCATTTTTTTTTAGGATCATCTAGGAATTTTTAAGCAGAGTTTCAAGTCTAGGTGTTAGGTCGAATTCTAGGACATTTGGGGTTCTTAAGATTTTTAGGTTAGTCTGGGGTTTGGATGAATTTTTCAGTAAACCTTTGAAGATTCCAATGATCCACGATGGCTGGAGACAGTGGTTTCTATGTTCACTTGAATATTCTGATAGCTATTTAAAGATTTTGACATCGAAATCTGGATTTATGGCCAGGATCTGGGGAATTTTTGGTTTCCGATGAAGACTCTAAAGAGAAGTCAAAAGGAATTAGAGCTAGAGAAAAAGAAGCGACTAAGGCAATTGAAGAAAAAAACAATTTTTTTCTTTTTTATAGCCACCCCAAAATGGCACCGTTTTGGAACCTTAACCCACGTGAACCCACATGTAACTTGCGCATCACCAGTGGACAGTACCAGACCCAATCGCAGGTATTTGCTTTCCTTTTTTTATCCTATTTTTTATTTTTGATTTTACTTTTTTTCTATTTTTTTCATTTTATTTTTACTTATTATTATTATTTTTATCTTTAATTATTATTTGGCTCATATTATTTTTATCTTTAATTATTATTTGGCTCATTACTTTAAATTGAAAATTTTATTATTTATTTTCTTTAAATGCCTTTACGAATTTCATTTTTTATTTATTATTAAAATAATAACTAAAAAATATTTCTAAAGTAAATTCATGAATTCTACCAATTATTGGAGGATTTTTCATAAATTTAAATTTTTATGAATTTTACAAATTTCATTAATCAATTTTTTTATAAAAAATATTATTAAAAAATATTTTGTTTCGATCTTATCAAATTATTAGAAGATTTACATCTTATATTAAGTCTTACTAAACTATTGAAATATTTAATACATTTTTTAAAAATAAATTTACATGAAAATCTTATTAAACTATTGAGAGATCTACATCCAAGTAAATCCTATCAACCTATTAAAAGATTTTATTAATTATTTTCTTGAATAAAAATATATTAATTAACTCGACAACAAAGCCTATTTAGAGTGAAATATTAGTCTCCATAAATACTCTTGAGGTGAAAAAATTATCTTAAATTGCTACTAAACTATTGAAACAAATTTAAGATTAGTTTTCAATAATTAAATGATTTGGTAAAATTAAAAAATATTTTAAGACTTGGATAATTTGAAATCAAACTGGTATCATCTTTTAAATTGACGTTGTGAGGGTGTTGTAACTATACTCACGCGTAACCTCACTTTCGAACTTAAAATCTGATTTCGTAAATTATAATATATTATTTAAAGATGTTTAAGTTAATCTTAAGACTCTACTTTAAATGTGATAGATTCTATCAGATGATTAATCATACATAAATAAAAAAAATTAATGATGACTGCTTTAATCAATATCTAATGATAAGTCTACTTATCTATATGTTAAGAAGATCGAAAGTTTTTCTTTTCGTTTGGTGAAAAATTTGAAGTTGAGGGGATTTGGATCGGATGAAAGGCCAAATGAGATTGACATAAGCATAACGCGGATAAGGTGGTGGGGTGTGTCATTGTCCAGCCAAAGGAATCTCCCCCACACGCATGCTTAGTCAGACTATACAGCCTATCTGCCCCGTCTAAAGTTCAACCCTTGACCCCGTCGACACCGCCGAGCCATGCCAGTACTCCAAGCTCTCCACTTCCTGTAATTTCTCCACGTGCCGCCTTCCGAGGACTTGGGCCGGTGCCCATTGGGCATGCCTTAAAGTGGTTAAGGCTTTTGTAACATAAATTAGTACTACAATAATCTAATAACAACCACCTCCTTTTATATTGACGTGAATAATATATTTTTATAAAAAGAAGATTACAAAAAAAAATTATAAATGTTAGAATTTAAACATTAAATTTATTAAATATTATCTTTTAAAGATAATTGTATAAATCAATTTAGTTAACTTCCAAAATCATATAAGGTTTTTTTTTTTTTTTTACCTTACCGTTTTGAATGTCAATTTGATGTGAATTGATCTAACGTAGAATACGTTAGTTGGGAAACGAGGGACGGCTGTTGGAGTGAGACTCTTATTACCATATCCGCAGGGTGGTGGGGAGCTGTATAGAAAGAGACTGCTACTTACTTAACCTCCTTCTTTCCTTCTTCCTTATCTTTCAATCTTCTTGCTCTTTCGTTCTATCTTTCCACAAAGAGAGAGAGAGATGGGGAACTGTCAAGCCATAGATGCGGCGGCGTTGGTTGTACAGCATCCATGTGGGAGGATAGAGAGATTATATTGGCCTATGCCGGCAAGTGAAGTGATGAGAATGAATCCAGGTCATTACGTTTCTCTGATTATACCATTGCCTCTATCTGAGGAAGAGAATAAAGATCACAAGACTGTACGTTTCGCCCGTGTTAAGCTTCTCCGGCCTAGTGATACTCTTGCCCTCGGCCATGCTTATCGCCTTATCACTTCCCAAGGTACCATATTGTTCACTTCCAAGCCTGATTGTTGCTTCATATTCTTCTTTATATTGATTATGAAACTTATTGTTGTTTCCTGGGCCTGCAGAGGTCAGGAAGGTCCTAAGAGCAAAGAAATATGCAAAAACGAAAAGGCAGCAGCTGGAATCAAATAAAATGTTGCAGCATGGACAAGAGAAGCAAAGTTCAGAACGTGAGTCAGGAGAAAAGTCTGACACAGAGAGCACCCACCAAGTATGTCTCACTGCGCCCTTATGGCCTCACCAAGTAGTTTATTAATAGATTTTATTTCACTAGAAAGCCTTAGTTCTCTGGTATGGAAAACCGGCTGTAGTGTGCAACTTGATGCATATGTTTTGCAAGAATATATAAATCTGTGAATGAGGCTCCTCAAGACACCATTTACTCTCTGTGACCCAGTGGTACTAAAAATAAAGCAAGATAATCAAATGAAAAGGATAACACAAAATACTTTATAAAGTTTCTGTCTGCATTAGAGTAGAAACAGAATACTAAGAAATATCAGTTGAAATAGTTTTCATGTTTCATTTGAATCTTTCATTCTCGTTCATTCCTAAATACTTGGCACTTATGTTCTAAAATTTCCAGGAGATAAAACATGAAAGACAAAGCTCAAGGACAACACCTGTGAACGCTGTTGCAATGATGTCAAAATCATGGCGGCCGTCATTACAGAGCATCTCTGAGGCCGGAAGCTAATGGTGTTGTTTTCAGGTTTCATTTGTAAGGTGCAGATTGGGTTTTAAGAATGGGAATGAACTGCCTCTTTCATTTAATGATGCTCTTCATGATGAAAACCCCAAATTATGGAAAATAGAAATTCACGAAATGAATGAAGGTGGTAACCAAGATTTCGAATAGCAATCAAAGCTCCCAAATTTAAATCTGTTTCAAGAAATAAAACATCTGCATAGCTTCTGAGTTCAGGAAAGTACTGGATCCTGCATTGTATTACAAGTAATATTCTGATATGAAATTAGGTCTTTCACTCACTGTTTATACAAATTCCAAACTTTATCAGTTACTTGTTACTACAGTAAAATGTGAAGATAATGTGAAAAAAAAATGTTACGAATTATGTTTGAGGAATCACTTGGGTGAGTTTGAGTTCCAAACCTCTCAATCATGATCAACCTAGTTTTGGGCCAATAACATGGATGCCCGAGCAGCCACAGATGCTCAGTCTCTCAGGCCCTCCATACTCACTGTGCAAGAAATTGTTAAATATATGTTTTCAACAATAGAAACTAGTAAGCTTCACAAAAATTTAAATTTTCATATCAAAACTTGAATGTTCTGTAGGTAAAGCCTAATAAAGGTAGAAGCATAATTCAACACTAACCATCACATACAGGTAGAGCCTAATTTAGAGAAATATCAACATTGGGCCAAACATTCACAGAAAGAAGAACGTGACAGTCGCTATCAGGAAAAGAGTGATTAGTTATTGTCATGCCAGATATGTCTTTTTGGGTCAATTATTGAACTTTTTCCAGGTCAAGCAAAAACCAAGCCTCCTAGAAAAGATGAACAAATGTTTGATTTAGAAGAGATCATTGTTGATAAAGGCGATAAACAATCAAAAGTAGGCAATTAAAAACTAAGGAAGTTGTCTGGATTGAAAGATTTGTATAAAAGGATGTGAACCACCATTCTCAACCTGTTGTATGATCCTAAGATTATAGGGTTTAACAAGTAAGGCTTAATTAGTGATTACGATCACCATGCTTCTTTTTCCCTTCAAATTCCAACATGCAAATTTGACTGTGAAGCCAAAAGAAATGAAGCTATTGTGGGTGATAATAGTGATGTTTGTATTTCAGTTACAAAGCTTGTTGTGTCTTTTCCACGGTAAAGAACATTTCCTGCTAATATTACCGAGTTTACAAGAAAGGAAAAACTAATCAGCAAGCTTTCCCAGCTAAGGAAATCAATGATATGATTTTATTAGAAATGCCTCCTTCGCACGCATTTTTACCACTTCATTTGCCAGAAAATCTTATCAACCTTCTCAACACCCCCCCCCCCCCCCCAATCCCTTCCCTAAAAAAAAGAACAATAAAAAAAAGCAACAGATGGGCTATTTGTCCCGAGCGAGCTTTGTGGACTAAGTTCCATTGCGGATTAAGTTTTCCCGTGCTCCGCTAAATAGGTAGTTAACCTACTCAAGTAGGTGGATCAATAACGAACAATGACATACTCAACTCGAACCATGTTTAAAATAAGCCAGAAATAACCTGGTTCACAAAAGAATGTCAATTCTAGGACCACATGTTGCATCAGCACTTATCAACAGAATAATAACTTCTTTCAAGCATGATGAAGCCACTTGTGCACTTATGCTCTACTGATGTCCCTTACTATAGAATTCAGGTGATTTTCATTAACATTAATGTGTCATACATAGAAAAATGTGATGGTTGTATTTCGGCTACTCAACTCATACTATTAATGTGCATACAAACATCATATTTTCTGGGTCATAATTGGAATAAAGAAGTATGACGATATATCCCTTCTTCAAATGATCTAAAAACATATTTCTGGTTAAGAACTTTCTTACGGCTAAGCTCTTCTAGAAAAAAAAAATGATAGAAGTTTGCAATTTACATAACTTTTTTAAGCAGTTGCTCGTCTTTCTTATTATTTGATGTAAGGCACTTTTCGGACAACCTTTCTGCAATTCTTTCCGATAAGAAAAGAGCCTTACGCATTCATGAGCATGTTTAAGTTTCGAGATACTTGTAGAAATTACAATTTTATAGCATTGTGCAACGAGGCTAATCAATGGTATTGGTACCTACACTCCATCTATTGATATGTAGTATAACAATGTGAAAGAAACGGGATGAGGTGAAGAATATTCAACACTAATTCTGCTTCTAAGAGTAATGAAGCTAGAGTATATGGTTTTGACTCTTGAGAACGAAACTAGGATAAAATGAAAAAAAAACCTGATTCCTTCAACTCTCAGAAATAAGGCATTTTTTCTAGTAATCCGAAGGCATAAAAAAAAAAATCCAATAGTCAGTATGTCTCTTTTGATGACACACGAGCACAGATAAAAAAGAATAAATTATTTGAAGGAAATTGTGTTATCAGTGGCACCGTCTTTCAAGTAGGTTAAGCTCATTAATGGATATATCTTAACTGATTCATTAGTAAAAGTATAAAATTTTAACATTTAACAACAAATAACAGGTCCTTCAAACACCATTGAATAAAAAACTATACAAACAAAAACCATTCCTAATATGTTTAACAATTAAGCAAAGGAATCTAGTAATAACAATGCCCCATCAATCACTTGCCATTAAAATGAACCAAGAAAGTAGCCATTAAAGGAGCGGTGATATTTAAAAGAAGAAGAGAAGAACCCTTCCTTAGATATTTCTCTTTTAGATTAATTTGAATTTAAAATAAATCTAATTTCTATTTAAAAGGATTATTTTTATTCTTTTAAAATCTAATATGGTTTATAATTATTTTCACAATGTTTATGATATAAGTGGTAATTATTTCTTTAATAAAAAAAATCTATAAATAGCCGCTCATCAAGTCCCTAAATTATACAATAAAAAATATGTATAATTATTATCTAACGTGGTGGCTCTATATTAGAAAACTTTAAAGATTTTGACTCAAATTGAAAGGTTATGGCTTTATTTTCTCTACCTAGCTAAGCTCGAAAATCATCCTTGTAATGAGTTCTAAAAATTTTAATTTTATTGCCTAAATCGAAATTATTTTGAGTATTACCTTTGGGTCAGGTTTTTAACCCGCTTCCTGCAACTTCACTCAAAAGGTGAGGAAAAAACCATTAAAAAAATGCATTTGTCCTTTTTGGCCAACGATATTTGGCATTGCAATTTACTGTAATTATGATGGCCCTTCTTTTAAGTTAGACACAGCCTTTAAATTTTTGTTTTATATTGTGACGTTTACATTAATTTTTATTAGACTATTGTTATTCATTTAATTGTTGGGTCATGTTTTATTTATTTTGGATTGTTGCATGACATTGATTATATGGTATTATTGTTTTAATCTTTGTTGGCCATTGTTATTAATTAATTATTTGTGTCTTTTGCCTCATTTAATTTAAATGTGCAACTTCTATTTGATTAACGAAATTTAACTTTCGACAACTCAAGTTATTTACGTTTGGCCATTTTGCATTATCTTAATTGTGGGCCTTTAAATGAAGTTGCTTGGACTATTATATAATAAAATTTGAACATTAAAGTAAACTACTAAATTCATTTTAATTAGAACATATTTTAAGTAAATGATTAATTTGTGTTACATATGTTTTAATTTTACTTTGAGCTTAATAATTAATTGAATTATGAAGAGTTTATTTGTTTAAATTGAAATCCATTATAATGATGTCATATAATCTGTGTGTAAAATAATTAAGGAATAGTCACAGCATACTTTAATTACAATAATATATGCATTAAGGATTTATTTTTTATTGCGTTTTATTATGAATGACATCAATTCTAATTAATCATAATAATGCCATAACTTTCTCCTATAAGGAAGTTATTAGAGTTCTATGATTAATTAGGATGAAATAAAAATTATTTATTTCTTAATTTGCCCACAAGTATTAAAAAATATTAGTAATTGCTAGTTTTATCATAGTCTTATGGATCAATTGTGTGTTGAATTCTTTGCCCATAGGTAAATTTTAATGATACCCGATTCATATATATATATATATATATATATATATGTTTTGCATTGGTAAATATATCATATTGTTATGTGTTATGCCTCAATTAATAAATTGTTGTAAGCATTTTAATTTTGTTTAATTGCAGTTGTTAAACTTTTGATTGATTTTGATGAAAAATCTAATGTTCCATATTTAAGTGGTGACAATTATAAAATTTGGAAAGAGAAAATTCTTCTTCGTTTAGGGTGCATGGACCATGACTATGCTTTTTATAAAGATGAGCCATCAATACTCACGGATGCTAGAACCTTAATTAAGATTGCTATAAGAGAATGTTGGGAGCGATCTAATCGCTTGAGTATGATGTTCATCAAATCTCACATTATGACTAGTATTTGTGGGTCTATACTAAGTGCAAGAATGTCAAAGAATTGATGTAGGCTATTGATGAGTAGTTTGAATTTTCAAATAAGGCATTGGCTAGCACCCTAACAAGAAAATTGTCATCAATGAAGCTAAGTGGCACCAAAGAAGTGCGCGAGCATATCATGCAAATGAGAGATATAGTTGTTTAGCTAAAGTCATTGAAGATTAAGATTTTATAGACCTTTCTAGTGCATTTCATTCTGAATTCTCTCCCTTCACAATATTAACCTTTTAAAACTTTCTATAACATGCGTAAGGAAAAATGGTCAATTAGGGAACTTCTGACCATGTATGTTCAAGAAAAAGGCAAATTGATCTCGAAGATGAGTTAAAGTGCACATATGGTGACTCAAGATAAAGGTAAGAAACAAGTCGGCAAGCCAAAAAAGAAAGGAAAAATACCTACCCATACTAAGAAAAAGGACCCCAAGTGTTTCTTTTATAAAAAAAAAAAAAAAAGACGCATAAGGAAGGAATGCTTTAAACTCAGGGCTTGGCTAAAAAAAAAAAGTAATCCCACGTCTTTAGTGTGTTATAAATCTATTATGGTTAATGTTTTTCATAACACTTGGTGGATTGAATCTGTTTCTACAATCCATATTTCTAATACAATGCAAGGTTTTCAAAACCAAAGAAAATCGAATGGAAAGTAAAAGTAGCATCCATTCTGGCAATCGGATACGTTCACATATAGAAGTTTTAGGAACTTGTAGACTAGTTTTAAATATTGGTTTTGTTTTGGATTTGGAATGAATTTATTACATTCCTAGTTTTTCAAGAAATTTTATTTTTATTTTGAGTACCTTTGGATTTTGCCTTTAAATTTTTTAAAATATCTTTTGATTTATAACAAAACTCAATTATTATTGGTAATGGTACAATGATTGATGGTTTATTTAAAATTCATTTAAATCATAATGTTCTTTATAGTTTTATCATGATAATGTTGGTACTAAGTGTTGTGTTATGAATGAGAAATCCTTCATATTATGGCATCGGAGACTAGGACATATCTCCATTGAAAGAATAAAAAAGCTAGTAAATGACGGAGTGCTTAATACTCTTAACCTTATAGATTGTGATTTATGTGTTGACTGCATTAAAAGAAAACAAGCCAACAAAACCAAAAAAGTTGCCATGAGTTTTAACATATTAAAGATCATACATACTAATATTTGTTGCCCTAATATGAGCTCGAATGGTTCATCTCATTCATTGATGATTATTCACGATACATGTATTTTTACTTACTTCATAACAACGATGAAGTGTTGGATGCTTTTAAAAGTCGTAAAGCAAAGATAGAGGAATAATATAGTAAAGAAATCAAAATCATGAGATCAGATCAAAGTGAAAAATATTATGATAGGTACATAAAAACTGGACATGCAACAAGTCCATTTTCAAAGTTTCTTAAAAAACAAGGTATTAGAGCCTAGTACACCTTACCTAGCACACCATCCCAAAATGAAGTAGAAAGAAGGAATCGAACTATAATGGAGATGGTTAGAGCATGCTTTACAACTCCATACTTCTTGTATCACTGTGAATGAAAGCCTTTAAAACTACAACATGTATATTAAATAGAATTCCAACCAAAATGAAGCCTAAAATGCCATTTGAGTTGTAGAAAGGTTGGAAACCAAGTTTGAGGCATATACGTGTTTCAGGTTGCTCAATTGAAGTTAGGATTTATAACCCATAAAAAAAAGTTGAAAATTAGAACTATTAGAGAATATTTTAATGGATATGCTGAAAAGCCTAAAGGCCCAAAAGGT